AGCGTATCCGCTGTTGGGGAATAATGGCAATTTTGGCTATAAATGGGATTATCGTCATGTGCAAAACTGCAGAAATATCGAAAATGCATCAATCCCCCCGAAAGAACCCTTGGTCTCCGAGTTCCAGCCCTTTGCAGCGGACATCCCAGACTCTGCCGCTAAGACGTCCTCCCCATCACGGGACAAGGCCAGAAGCGCCCAGTGAGTGCCTTGATACAGGCTCTCGCCTCTGTCCTCGAAGGCTAGGGTTCAGGGTTTAGGGGGGATTCGTTCGGCACCAAAAACGGTTTAGGCATTGTTTTGGTGTTTGCGGTTCGCGGCTTCAGGTTTCGGGTCGAGAAATTTCGGTTTAGGTGTAGGCTCAGCGTTCAGGGCTTGGGGCTCAAGTGTTCCTTAGGGTTCATGTCCCGAGCCCTGTTGTAAAGCTCTGGGCATGTGTGATTCAGGTCCAGATGAGTTTCGTCCTTTTGGGGATCCGGGAAAGTCGGCAACAAGTTGCCCGTAAAAACTTACGCGCTCTTTGACAGATGGCTACAGAAGGAGTCGATGTAGGGATTGCCGAGAATATGGTCAGGTGACGTCCTCATCCCCCGAATCAGGAAGTAACCCAACATCAACCCCACAAATCGAGAGCCTAAACCACCTGATGAGCAAGTGTCAAACGGCAGCGATTAAATTTGAGGCAGAGGGTCCGTCCGATCGCTGATGGGCACGAGGACCATTTTCCTGAGATCGACTAAACGGTATGTGCGTAATGCTAGTCCCCAAAAGCCTACTTTAATTACTAGGCCTCGGCCTACGGGTAGGCTCCTTCATGAAAGAAACAGGACATCCAAGAGGAGGAACTACAAGTACATGGGTTTACATAAAGGGTCAGGTGTTTTATACACGAGGCTTCATTAGGCGATTGGTTCATGATAGAAGCAGTCAGCCTTATAACTAACTGTAGTGCGATTCGTTGGACACCTGTCCGTGGATTATAAGCCCTACAGCGTAAATCCTAAACTCTAAGAGAAACACGGATCAGACACTGGCGGTCAACTCAACAATCCCGACTCCAATTAGCAATTATCCTAGTGTAAACCCTAAAATTTAAGGGGTTTTAGGGTTTAGGGTGACTAAGTGTAAAATAAAGCCTAAACCCTAAACCCCACTTACTGAGCCCCTGACCCTTCAAGCAGAGTGCAGGGTCTCTGGGTGCCATGTATTGCGGCTTCGGGTTCGAAGGTTTAGAAAGCAAGTAGGGTTTAGGGTTTAGGGTTTGGGGGGTGTGCGTAGGCTGTAACTGTAAGGGCCTCACCGGCAACTTGAATCCCGAACATACATTCATGAAGGATCCTTCTCAAAGTATTTCTAGATGGGAAAGAGCTTCTAGACCATACTAAACGTCAAACCCTAAACTGGCCCTGAACCTAAATTCCAGACCCTAGACTCTAAACTCTAAAATCCTAACTCTCAGTCCCGCGCCCTGCCTTGCATACTGGGCTGTTGTTCCTGCAGGATCGGGTGAATATAGAGAGAATCCCGTCCAACTTGATCTCTTGAAAGGTGGAGAATGCACCGCCGCTTCGCATCTGGTGCCGCCATGGGTGACCGCGATGAGACGACATGCCAAAGTTGCGCCAACAAAAACCTTGTTAAAACCATTGCCCCTAGTAATTTCTCGCGTGGTTTCTGGACATACTGTTGTTGATATAAACCTTGCATGAACTTGAGGACATTAAACTATGATAATCATGATCTTT